AGTTCACATCAAGTACATTAAACAAATATTACATAATCATAAGTATATTGTTTGAAAGTTACAAAACATGAAGTCCTAATAAAGCATGATAATCATTTTCGAGTTATCTATTACCTAAGAATACAAGTTATTTGAAAATGGGACAACATATAAAATGTTGGTGAGTTCATAAGCATGTTTGATATAAAACGTTTGATGTTGTTGGTAAAACCCAAAAAATCCGATATTTTCTGTAAGTAAAATTGTTTGTGACATGATGTGATGATCCAATTGTATAGATATGTGTAATTTCAGAACTAGTATATGTGACTTATTAATATTAGTATTTCTCATATAGCAGTTGAAGTATGATATAGAAATGATGTTGAGTCCCGGAAAATCCGATATTTTCCGATATAAAATAGTGTGATAGTTTTGTAATTTCGTATAAATCCCACAGTACGACCATATATATGAAGTCAATTTCCCCGATGATAGTGAAATGGTAACAGATCTCTATGTGAGACGTTATAGTCGTGCATAATAATGACTATTTCGCATGTCTTGACATTTTTTACAAACGCCGATTTTGATCAAGATTTTGTCACCCTAGACTGGTCGAGTCTAACTGTAGCGAACAACTCACGTGTGGGGGAGTCACCCCCATATAGATCTATACACAAACTCTCGCCCTCCCCCCAGGAGACTCTGGTTATAACTACAGGCTACGATCGACACTTATTGGTGTCAACCGCATATTTCTCATTAGTCCCAATTATTACCCCGCGAATTTGAATAGTATTGATCACAATCAGTTTATTGTTTACATGAGTATGAGTAAAGCTCGACAACACGAATAAGGACAACTGTGGTCCATTAATCATGTATGTTAAATTTAGGCTATCGAGCACATGAGTAAGTTGGACCTTACTAGCGATGCAAATAGGCCACTAAGGCCCAATAGCATTTAAAGCCATTGAGGGTCCACTAAGCATGTAATTGGGTCACTAGAAGCCCAATTAACATGTATTATTATTATTGTTGGACCCAATAGTTATGTTAATGGGTCATGAAGGCCCATTAAAACATAATTTACAAATATTAAGCCCAACCGATTTAGTGTTTACTCGTATTGTATAGTATAAATATTGAAGGTTTTGAATTGTTCAATCGTAAAGTCCCAAAAATAATTGTTTGGCCAATTCTGTCCCTTTTCTAATAAAAATGACAATTTTAGTCCCTTTTTATGAAAAATGACATTTTAGACCCTTAGATTATTTTTCCTTCATATTTTCGGCCCAACCACTTATCCAAATAGTATTTTCTGCCCAAATTAAAATATTGGGTAGTTTCAGCCATTTAATTAAAAAGATTTACAATTGTAGTCCATATTTTCGCAATTTTTACAATCTAAGAACAAAATCTAAATACTTTGCATTTTTAGTCCTATTTGGTAATAAATACATTTTCAGACCTTGAAAACTTGTTTGTCTATGTTTTTAACTCATGTTTTGATAAATTTACAATTTTTTTCCCTCAAAATCATATTATTCGAAATTGTTGGGCCTAAAAGTCAAAAAGCCCAAATTTTAGCACATTAAGCTAAAATTTACATTTTTAGTCCTTTGAAAGTCATGATTATTATAAAAACTCATGTTTTAACTATTTTGACCTTCTTGACACTAATAAAACCGAAAATGATATCATTTTTCCTATCTTTTGCTTATTCTGTCAAAAAATGGTCCATAGATAAAATTTGATTTTTATTTTACTTATTATAAACTTGTACAACACTTTTATCTTGACAATAATAAGTATAAAACATTTTAGATCACATATTTTCCTTATTATAGTTAAGGATTTCAAATAGATCACATTTTTAGCACATATACAACACATAAAGACAAGAAATCACACATATCATACAAAAACACATAGCTCTACACATTTTACTTGCATTCTCCCTCATAAATCATGTAAAAACCCAAAATAAAGGGGTATGAACTCACTTTGAGGGTTATAGCTTCGGTTTTGAGTAGGGGTAAGCATTTGGATCGAACCGGACCGGACCAGAATGGACCGACTCTTGGACCGGACCGGTTTTGGAGAATATTGTGGACCGTGGACCGGACCGCATGAGTCATGTCCATGTCCGTGTCCGGTTCCAAGTCCGGGTTATCCGATTATTGGACCCGTTTGGACCGGTACAACTTTAATTGCATAGAGTACAAGTCGTTAAAATAAGGTTTTGGGTTTGATAGAACTTGTTAAAACGAATATGTTATTGGGTTTCATACGATACAACTTGTAAAAATGATTATGTTTATGTTTCATGCATAACTAATCTACATTGATGTTATAATATTATAACTTACAAAATTAATTTTCCAAATAAAAGCAACTAACATACAAAATCAAGTTCACCAAGATCCCTTTCACATGATTTATCTGTCAAAAATACATAAAATTCAGAATTATACTCTAAAATAATAGTTAAAAAGTTGAGATATTTCATATTTGATAGCTCTACTTTGAAGGATTGTAACTCAGTGAATATAATACGAAAATAAATAAAATTATAGTCTAAATTTATCAACAAATTGTAAACTAAATGTTGGAAAAAACCGGAGGTCAATCCGACTTAAAACGAATGAGTTATGGGTGTTTAAAAAACATCACGGATTACAAAATCTTGCTGAAAAGCTGAATTTCTTCTGCTTTGATAGCTCTACTATGAAGGATTATAATTCAGTGAATATAATATCAAAATAAACAAAATTATAGTCTAAATTCATCTACAAACTGTAAACTAAATGTTGGAAAAAACTGCAGGTTAATCCGACTTAAAACGAATGAGTTATGTGTGTTTAAAAAACATCACAGATTAAAAAATCTTGCTAAAAAGCTAAATTTTTCAGCTTTGATAACTCTACTTTGAATGATTGTAACTCAGTGAATATAATACCAAAATAAACAAAATTATAATCTAAATTCATCTACAAACTGTAAACTAAATGTTGAAAAAAACCGCAGGTCAATCCGACATAAAACGACTGAGTTATGGGTGTTTAAAAAATGTCACATAAATCTTAAACATGTCCAACCGGTTCTAAACCCGGTAAAAACCGGACCGAACCGGGAAAAAAACTGGACCGGACCGGATAGAAATCTTAGAACCAAGAACCGGACCGGGGGTCCAAAAAAACGGTCCGGTCCGGTCCGATCCACCGGTCCAAATGCTCACCCCTAGTTTTGAGGGAGAAATGGAAGAATATGATGTTGTTTTTGGCTTGAATGCTTTCTTAGAAGAAGTATTGAAGCTTTGATGGTCCTAGAAGGCATGATCACGAAATGAAGCCACATGAAAGAGTGTTCTTAGCCTAAAGATAGAGATAAAAACTTATGTATGATAACAACTTACCAAGGATGGTGACATAAGTGAAATATCTTCTTGAAGCACTACTAATTCTCGAGATTCATGAAGAAAATGAGAAGATGTTCTTACATGAGTAGAGAGAGTTTGAAGAGGGTGGTGTGGTTGTGAGGTCTCGGCCGAGAAGAAAAAGAAGAGAGGGGAGAGAAGGATGAGGTGACTTGCATGGAGACATGAGATCCTTGCCTTGTTACATGTTGAACAATTGCTTAGTTAACCATTAAACAATATTGAGGTGGCATGTTTAAGTTTAATTTTCCATCTTTTTTATTTTATTTTACACATTGGTCGATATTTGGGCCAAAGAAGAAAGAAGTGAACTAGTTTGAGTTCATTCTTGGTCTTACTTAAAAACATAAAGTCCATTAAGTAAGTTTTCAACCCATTAAGCCCATAGGATGGTTCACGACCCAAATTATACAAAAGAATGGATTTATGGTCCTTTAGGGTTAATTTAAATCAATTATAGCCCAAATTAGGCCCATTAGGGTAACCCATTTCATTTTAGGCCCATGATGGCCCAAAAGGTTAGGTTTTATGAATGTGGATCCAATTAGGGCCCATTTAAGGGTTCTAAGCTTAAAATAGTTGAATTGAAAACTTATTGGTCCATTAGGCCCAATAAGGAAATCATAGTCTACATTGGACTTAAATCGGAAATTTTAGGTTTTCCAATCTTCCGTTGACCACTTGAAGTGTTTGTATAGATTTTTGGATGAAATTTGTTGTCATAGGATAAACACTAAGCATGCTTTAAAAATTTTGGTTACAATTGATATCGTTGTTACAGTTACAAGGATATAAAATTTCCTAGTTGTGACATTCTCCCTGTGTCTCATATTAATAGTTCATGTTTCTTTTTTGGTTTGTCTCAAAATAAGAGTTTATTTCTAAAAATAAATATGTTTTTTTTTTTACCATAACACCCATCGTTATTAGTTAAATTATCATGAAATTAAATGCAACTACAATAAAATTAAATACAACAAAAAAAAGTAAAACTATATTTCATTTAATAAAATTAATGATAATTAATGTTTTTTTTTTTTTTTTTTTTTTTTTTTTTTTTTTTTTGTGGACAATTATTTTGAAAAAAAAAAGAATATCATATTCAAGTATAGTTCCTCCACCTTAGAATTTAGGATACAACTATCTCATCTTGAGTTTTCTTTAAAAAATTAACTATAAAAAAAATTAAAATAAATATAAAAATATAACATAAAAACAAATTAAAAAGGAATGATTCTTATTTATGTTTTAAAGCAACTATATGGGTATAAAATTTCAGCTTTTCGACCATGCAAATTAAAATTTTGATATTTTGAAAACCACATCACCAATTTTGAATTTTAGCCTATCTTTTTTCTACACCAAATATCAAGTTCACTTGTCACTTTCCCTTTGTTATGGTCTGTCTAGTCTATGGTCAAGTCGTTGTAAAGTCTTCCCTGGATGCCTGATTTTTACCGGAAAACACGTGCAAGGCTTGGCTTTCCAAGTCTACTACTGAAACAGAAAATAAAGATGTTCCTGGTATGATTTATAAAAACCAGTAATAATCTTGTTAACCTAAGCTATCCGAAACACCATGTTCACCTTCACTTTCCAACTCTTTTCTTTGCTCCTCCTTTCTACCACCGCCACCGCTCAACCATACAAAGCCACCGAAATCTTCCTCCTAAACTGCGGTTCTTCCTCCAGTGCCATAACTTCCGGGAGGAGATGGGATGGTGATGAAAATTCTAAATTCGTACCCTCCAACATCGCCACCACCTCCTTTTCATCCCAACCTTCGGTCCAACATCCTTCAGTCAATCTTATCCCTTACGCCACTGCTCGAATCTTTAACAGTTTTTCATTCACCTACATGTTTCCGGTCTCCCAAGGCCCTAAATTTCTCCGCCTCTATTTCTATCCGGCCACCTACTCCGGCCTCAAAGCAAACGAATCTTTCTTCTCGGTATCATCCAATGGTTTCTCTCTCTTTTCCAACTTCAATGCTTTCCTTACTACCTCCTTTCTCTCCCAATCAGGTCACAATGTTTTCAGCTTTGTGAAAGAATACATCATCTACGTAAAAGATACCCAAATCCTAAACGTTACTTTTACACCCTCACCCAACTCGTTTGCCTTCATCAATGGTATTGAAATTGTTTCTATGCCGGAAAAGTTGTATTTCAAGAATATAAAGATAAGGTTCGTGGGAACACATTTAGGCCCTGTTATTGATGAGTACACGAGTCTTGAAAATATGTATCGGCTAAACGTGGGCGGGGCACAAATTTCAGGCAACGGTGATACCGGTATGTATCGATCATGGGATTCTGATGAGTCTTACTTATTTCATTCTTTAATGATGGGAATGACGCCTCTTAGTCATATTCCGATAACGTACACAACGAACACACCTGATTATACCGCACCTAAGCTAATTTATCAAACCCAAAGGAGTATGGGCAATCACTCTGACCAATATATTCGGACTTGGAGACTTCCTGTTGATTCTGGGTTTTGGTACATGCTCAGGCTCCATTTTTGCAACCTTATACCACAATACACGCTTAAAGGACAGATGATTTTCAAGCTCTTCATTAATAATGAAACTGCTGAGGATGAAGCTGATGTATTCTTCTGGACTCCAGGAACCGGGTATCCTGTATTCAAGGATTATGGTGTGTTTATGAACGACATAGATGGCCACGGAAGCAAGCGAGATTTGTGGCTCTCAATGCTTCCCAATGACCAATCTCAAGAATATCGTGATGCTTATTTGAATGGTTTGGAAGTCTTCAAGTTGAACATGACTGGTAATCTTTCTAGCCCCAACCCGAATTCTAGCTTTACAACACCACCAGAAAAGCCGACATCTCCCATTAAACTGAAAAAGAAGACAGCTCCATATGTCGTGATAATTGGAGGTGTTGGAGGAGGAATAGTCTGGTTTTCTGTTCTTGTACTTATGGTTTTCTGGTGGCGAAGTGGAGCCGTAGATAAGTCATGGTGGGGCCGAACTTCCACTGAATCAAACCCTACAAAGTTGCCCTCGGATCGCTGTCGTTGTTTTACACTTAAACAACTCAAACTTGCTACGGATGAATTTAACGAAAACTTTGTCATAGGCAACGGAGGGTTTGGCAAGGTATACAAAGGGTATATTGACAACGCAAAAACCATCGTAGCAATCAAACGACTCAACCAATCATCCAGCCAAGGTTTTTCATGAATTCCGAACAGAAATCGCAATGTTATCTAAGCTACGTCATCTCCATCTAGTAACCCTAATCGGATACTCTGATGACAATGGAGAGATGGTTCTCGTGTATGAGTACATGACTCATGGTACTTTACGTGAACATCTTTACAACACAAACAATCCTCCTTTATCATGGAAAACACGTCTCCATATTTGCATTGGCGCAGCCAAAGGGTTGCATTATCTTCACACAAGTGGAAAGCGGATGATAATTCACAGGGATGTGAAGTCCACAAACATTTTACTGGATGAAAAATGGGTGGCTAAGGTGTCGGATTTCGGTTTGTCAAAGCTTGGGTCGAAAGACCCTTCTCAAACACATGTTAGCACGTTGGTGAAAGGTAGTATTGGGTATATAGATCCTGAATATTGCAAAACGAAACATCTGACTGATAAGTCTGATGTGTACTCTTTTGGGGTGGTTTTGTTTGAAGTGTTGTGTGCAAGACCTGTTATCCTTCAACACCTGAGTGGCGACCAAGTGAGTTTGGCGAGTTGGGGTAAGTCTTGTTATAGAAGGGGATCGCTGAATGAAATAATTGATCAAAAGCTAAATGGTGAAATTGCACATGGAAGCTTAATGAAGTTCGGAGAGGTGGCAAATGGCTGCTTGCATGAGGAAGGGAGTGAACGACCCTCTATGGAGGATGTTGTTTGGGGTCTAGAATTTGCACTGAAGCTACAAGAGGCTGCTGATGAAGCAATGCAAGAAAATCAAGATCTTCGCCCCTTCTGATAAGAGATCTCACCAAAATTAATGGTTTCCATAAATTTATGCACATCCTGTTTTTCTCATTTGTCGTAGAATGTTTATGACTCTCTGGTCAATTCAATATAATTAAATTTATACACGTCCTGTAGTTTGACTAGTGAAATCAAGTGTATGGTTATGGGCTTAGGCCCTTACGATGATGTGCGTAAGGGATTAAAGACATTGACTTTGTCAATTTCATCGTCCTAAAGCTTTAAAACTTTGTTTCTCTCATTGAACCATCCAGAAAGCCTCACGTACACCAATAATATGGTAGAAAGTCAAGCATGTCATACTATAATTCCAAAGCTATGTAGTCCTACAAGATGATCCCAATATCTGATTAAAGAAAAAAATTACAATCAATGAAGACATGCAATGAGTATAACTTAGTTTAGATTTTGAAAAGAAGCTAGGGTTAGGTCGGAGTATTTTAGATTATGTGATTTGTCTTCAAAGTTATTTCAGTGCAATTATTTTCTTTGTAAATAAATTAATGTTAGATATTATAAATTAAAGATAAATTCACTAATAAGTGGGAACCTAATTTTTTGAGATTCAAATGCTTGGTGAGAACACTCTCTCTCGAAATTGAAGATAAATTCACTAATAAGTGGGAACCTAATTTTTTGAGATTTGGTGAGAACATTCTTTCTCATGGTAATAAATAAAAATTATTTTTTCACATGTTTCCTTTTCTTTTATTTTGTGTCACATGTTTTTTTTGGATTTTATTACTTTTTTTTTTTTTTTTTACTTTCTATCTGTCAATTTTTAGTGTTTTTCGTTTTCTTACATTAAATTTTCTGAATTGACGATTATATATAGAAGGTTTTCAATCTATTCATGTAAAGTGATCATTATATTAATTTGAGAATAAATTCAAATAAATGTTACAAACATATTGATTTCTTTCTTTGTTTTCAATTAATTTATAAAATGTTTAATGTTTATATATTGATATTAAATTTTTATTTTTAATAAACATGTATAATACATGGGTCTCACATCTAGAATTCTTTATAATAAACTAATATAGAGAAATGTCAACAAGACTATATGCGGAAAAAAAAGTAGTGTCCTGCTCCTCCGTACACTTGGATTACCATATTTCCCTCGCTCCAAACTCGACCTCGAGTTCCCCAGTTTCCTAATCCCCGACCCCGTTCTTAAATTTCTACAGCACCCCCGCTTCTGCTCTTGTTTCCCCTATGTACCAAAATCCCACGTTAACCATGTGTGGCCCGAAAATCCCCCGTTTTACATTCTTTACCCTATTTTTCATTCGTTTATTTTGTTTAACGTTACATATTACACTAATTATTAAAATACATGCTTATTACACAATCGATACTGTAAGTTTAATATTTCCATTTTCAAACAAAAATAGCAAAATATAGGATAATTATTTCAGGCCCTTCTTTCACATCCATTTTCTAGGATGAGTTGATTTCATTTTTATTTGAATATTGAGATTTAAGGTTTCTGGCTAAGCACGGCGCAATAGACATCAGTAAGGACCAACGTGACCATGTATTGTTCGTGAAGCAAAGCCACCATAGCCCAAAACCCTAGGTCTAGGGCTTGAGCCCTGTATAATGGTGCTAACTTTTTCTCCGGAACGTAACTGTAGCCTTCCCTTGCACCTTTGAGAAATTTTTAGTGTGTTTGTGAGAGTTTTGAAGGAGAATAGAGCTTTTGGACCTTAGAGGTGTGATTTCCAATTGAGGTTTCCACCTTTAAACCCTCTATATGCATTTTAAGTCTTAAATTCTAAGTTTTATTTAGTTTTATGCTTGGGTTTGGACTTATGAAGAGATTTTGATTTGTTTTGGTCCCTTTCTATGTAGCTCTTGGAGTTTGGAGAACTCCAAGACCATTTTCTTGACTTTGGGTATTTTTGGAGTTGTTTAGAGGCTTTGGTGTGCATGTTTGAGCTTCTTGTTCTTCATACAAAGGATTCAAGTCACTTTTGGGACATTTTTGAGTTAGGGTTAGAGATTAGGTGTGACACCTGTTTTCCAAAATTTATTAGATGACTTTAAGATTGCAAAGATAAGGTTTTGGGAAAAAAACCTTGTGCCACTGCGTGGCTATGTCCATTGGACACCACAACATGGTAAGGAATGTACCACGACCTGGTGAGCCCTACAACCCAAGCCCATGAAGATTATGGTTTCTGCAGTATTTAAAGGCATAAAATCAAGAGTTAGGTCAACTTTTTTAGCCTCCACCCTCCTTAATTTAAACCCTAGCCTCCCATATTTCTTCCCTTTTCCTCATTTTTCATATCTTCTTGACGTGTGTCATTTTAGGTATTTTGAAGGAAGGTCATTATCTCTTGAAGCTTGAGTGTCTATATCCAAAAGAGATCTAGCCTTTTATACATCATTTGGACCTATGTAAGTGTTTAGGTTCCAATATTTGTGGCTTAAGCTTCCTAGACCTAGAGTTTTATGGCTTTTTATATACCTTTTATGGTGATGGTTGGAGTTCATGGAAGAACTCCAAATAAAGCTTGCAACTTTAACTATATTGGTTGTCCTTGGATTCTTCATGGAAGGCCCACGATGTAGTGGTGTATTTTAAATATTTTGTTCAGACTTAGCCACAATGCGGCCAAGAGACTCACCACGGCGTGGTGGTCATTGAACTGGTTGACTCTTGACTTTAATTAATTGTTTAATTTTGACCACTTTGACTTTGGGTCAAACTTGAAGGATTTGGGTTGTTAACTGATGTACAATCTTTAATTGGTGATAATAAGTTTGTGGGTCTGATCAGAGCAAACAATTAAGAGTGTAGTTGTGCTTCCCCAGTTATTCGATTCAGGTGAGTCTTCTTACTATGCCACATATGACATTGTGTATCCTCTGTATGTTAGGATAGTGTTACTACTAGATTATATATATATATATATATATATATATATATATATGGTAGTTGACTAGGATAACTCCTTGATATATATATATATATATATATATATATATATCTAGTATAGGACACTTGGTGTCACGGTATGCTAGACTGGTAGGGTCGTGCATGTTGATTATATGATATTGCTAGGTGTTATGATTGGTTAGGGTAATGGTAGTATTGGTTGATTGTTAAGTGGATACCCTAAGGGTTGTATATAGTTTAAGTTAGATAGGCTGAAAAATCTTGGTCTAAAGCCTTATTTCATGTTTCTTGTTCGATTGGTTGTTTTCCGGTATGATCATCCATTCGACTCTCTATCTGACTCGCAGCTACTTATGACTATGTATTCATGAGGTGATTGTTTTTATTAGCATTGGAACAGTATGGATGTGGTTACAGTGAGAGGTCGATGATTGCAGGGTGGTTAAGAGCTAATAATAGGTGATGACTAAGATTTGGTAGTAGTGGTGGCTAAGAGCCAATGGTAGAGTGCCAGTAAAGGATATGTATGCTTGTTTGTATGTTGTATGCTTGTAGATAGGAGAGTTAGAAGATCAGCGCTAGGGCTAAGGACTTTGTGTGGATTCATTGTATGTATGATGGAATATGTGGTATAACTCACTAAATTTTATGCTTATAGTTGTGGATAAAATGTTTCACAGATTGTCCAGGAGAAAAGTTCGGCGGGAGTGTACACACACATCAAAGATATTGATTGTTGAGAAGATCTATCTGAGTTCAAGAAGTCTATTGAACTAAAAATCTAAGAAGTTTATGATATTCTCAGTAAAGAGGTCAAGAAGGTTGATGGATTATTGCTTGATGTCCAGAAGAATATTGATTGTTTATTGGGTGCTTCACGAACTTTGGTTAAAGATGTATGTGTGTTTAACGTGGAATATAAAGAGACACTTCAGAAGAAGAATAAAGGTGACGAAACTTTGTTCAAAGTCTTTGAGAATTCTATGACTACTTTCCATAAGAAAATGTCAAAGGTTGTTGCTACCTCCGAAACTTTGATATCTGAAGCACTTCTCAACAAAGTTATATCTTCAATTGAAGGTTGTTTCAATATCTTGGAAGTTGTATTTATTCTACCCATAATTGCTCCACATGTTATGCAAGTGTCACAAGCTGCAGAAAAGGGTGGATCGTCGAAGCTTGGAGGTGAAGATAAAGGAAAAATGTTTGGAAAGGTATTTTCTACTCAAGTTCCAATTCCAATTCCCACTAACACAGTATAAATTATGACAACACCAACATCAAATCCCAATATTGAAGTTGATATGTCAAAGCTCCAAATAGAGAAAACCTTGACAATCAATGAAAGAGGAAGCTCTTCGATAGTTGAAATTGTTGGTATTCCAAGTAAAGACAAAAACAAAGGTCTTAAAGCAACTAAGAGAAAGAACAAAAAGATGAAAGAGTTAGAAACTAAGAGACTAATACAATTGAATAGTTTCATCAGATAAAGAGCAAATTATCCACCTGGTTTGAATATGGGAGATGTGAAAAAAATTATAAAATTACAAAACCATAGAGTTTGTAGCTTTTGGAGATACAGATACCTTTAAGAAGTTGTTAATTGAGAGTTTTGAAATTAAGAATTGACATATGGCTCAACTGGATTTCCCTTTTAATACAACAATCTTCATATTCATACAGTTTAAGCTTGCTAATAATTTTCATGAAGATGAACATTTCAAGTTCATGGAGATGAGATTTCATGCGGTGTTGGTTCAAAAGGAAGAACAATTATGGTGCTTGAAAAGATTATCAAGTTAATCTCCATATCGAAGGATGTTATGTTTGAAGAGTGATTACAGAATTATCAATACAAGGTAATAAGAGCAGACAATAGTGTTTGTGAATTCACTATTTCTGAGTTCCTATTGATGAATCTACATGATTTGATAACACTTGCATACATGATCAAAATGTGGGATGACAAGTATGTGATAGATAAGAAGGTATATGTGATTAGTTATACCTACCTGAAGAATTACATCGACTACTATTTAGCACATCTTGGTCTATCAGACTATGAGATATAGAAGGCATATAACAAGCCTTTGAAGAATCCAAATATTACAATTGATAATCTAGATTTGGATTAGTATGATGATGGGGAGATATTATTGAAGTCTTTGGGAGTTGTTTTTCAAGGGAAGAAGATTAAGGGAAAACAAAAGAAACATTTCTTTTACATTGATCTATAAGAGTTGTATTCTACAACAAACTTACCAAATATTGTGTTTAGAATTATGAAGTGCAAAAAGAATTTAGATGCCAACAGAATGGAGATCCGCAAGAGTGTTACATGTTACTTGGAGATAAGAAAGACAATTATGGAAGCAGTGAAGACACTACCAATAGTTTGAAGACTTGAATAATCTTTGAAAATGGGGAGAATGTAGAGTTTATAAGTTGCAAAGTTATTCATATGTGAAGTTTTGTATTGTATTGTCAATGGTAGTGTAGCTGTCTATATCGAAGATTATGTAACTTTGATATATCTATGTATTTCTAGGAGCATATAGTTCATGTAATGAATATCAAAGTCTCCTAGTACATTTTGTATTTGTTGACATAACTATCAATAGTGTTGCAACATAGGTTACATGAATGTTTTTCTCACTTTACATCTCACACTTGTAACTATGCTTTCCTTCCAGATAATGAGAGCTTAAACAAATTTATTTACTTGTCATATTCCTCTTTCTATTTGAAATTGATACTTGATTGAATACTTAACTCTTTAAATATACTTCGATCAATTAGTCTTATTTGGCAATCCCACATGGAAATTGACCTTAAACCTGATTTGAGATATCATTAAAGAAAGACTAATCTCTTCCTCTTTAATAAGCTTCAATGGGAAGAAGTTTCTTGGTCCATGAAAACCTAGGTATGAAACTATCATTGACGTGTTCATATTTCTCATTGTCGTATCTCTCAGAGTCACAAACAAGTTTCTAAATAATGTTAGGCGTGACTTAGTGGCAATGTCAAGCCTCAAGCTTTTTTCGAGTAGTGGTGATCCACGTCTTTTGTAAGGTGTGACTTAAGGTGTAAATTTTGTTTATAATTAATAATATATATATATATATATATATATATATATATATATATATATATATATTCTACTAATATTTATTTTTATATGCATATATGGCTTAAGGCAAAATTTTGTTAATGTTTGGTGACAAGTACAAGCCTCGGAGCCATGGTGCACCATGACGAAGCCATGAAGAACTTTTTAGGACCTTCGTCACAACCATCATTAACTTCTTAGTATTTGTCCTCATCAATTTCTCAAAGTCATATTTCTTGGAGTTGCAACTAACTTGTCGTTCACAAGCTTCTGAAAGAGAAAGAGAATTGTATTTCTGTAATGATATTTCAAACTCTGTTCATTGTCAACTCCCACTTGGGACTGCAAAAAGCACTGATTAATCCATATATAATGTCATTGGCTTGGAAATCGTACTGTGTTCGGGTTGGTGGGTCGTAGATTGGTAGGTTGGCGAGTCAAAATACACCAACCCGAACATGACCCATTTAACTATATAGGTCACAGGTTGGCGGATCACATATTAGAGGGTTTGGAACATAAAACCATATACGACCTGTCAACCCAATTATTTATACAGGGTCACAGTTTGGGGGCATCATGGATCAGATTTGGGTTCGTGGGTTCATGGGTTAGATTCCATAAATAAAATAGATAATTAAACATGAATAAATTCTAGATGCAAATAAAAATTAAAAATATTCATGGAAAAATGTTTAAACTAAAACATTAATACAAACATAGATAAATTTAAGTGCTAACTTAATGTCCGCATTAATACAAACATATATACAAACATCAATCCTACATTCCTATGAATAATACTTAATACATTTAAAATATATATATATTTTTACTAAAATTATAAATGAGTTGGCAGGTCAACTCGTATATTTTTTGACAAACCCATATATAACCAAATTTAATAAATAGGACGGTGGGTTGAAAAACTTAACCCAAACACGTTTATTTTGTGTCGTGTCGTGAGTCATGTATAGAATTGTTAGTGCTAAATGTTATATGGCATTGTGTAGGACAAGTTAGCAGGTTACGAGTTATACATGATCATAGGGACCATTTCGGATACAAATAAAAACTTAGGTGACCTTTTAAAACTCAAGCTTAGTTAAGTTGTCACACCCCCTAAACCAGGATGACAGAAACATTTGGGGGTGGATGACTTCATGACTCGTATCACAACAATATGTATAATAGTGATCAAAGCAAAACATAACCATCATATTTATAATCGAAAGAGTTACATTGTTGTAAGAGTTGTATGTTTCAAAACCAATTACAATATGATGATTAAAAGATTTGTTTGATGCCTTAGCATCCCATCATCAAAAGCTTGTAGTTACCTGTTTTAATGATTTCCTGAGAATACAAGTACTTTGAAAAGTGACAACAATTAAGTTGGTGAGTTCATAAGAGTTTGTACGAAGAATAGTAAGCCTTTCTTTGTAAAATGATCGTGTTTGTTTCCAGAAAATCCGATATTTTCCTTAAAAATGAGTTATAGTCTTTAGAAATCCTAAGATGGAAATGGATAAGTATTTCTATACTTAAAATAGTAATATGTAGTTTTTATCTATATAAAACCATTTGAAGTATGTTTCCTCGTAAACTAAATGTATCGTTGATTTCCCCATGTGAGTTATGATAACTGTGCTAAACCATAGATGGCCTGTTACGACGTTCTTCAGGCGTCGAAATGTTAGACATTTCTCACTGAGACCTATCGGTCTAACCATAGCAAGCAGCTTAGGTGCCGAATTACCAGTCCCATATAGATCTATACATAAGTATCACGCTCTCTTATGGGAGATTATTGTGACAACTCGAAATCTATATCTTATAACAATCCCTGCATTCAATCAAAGCCAAACTCTCAATTTGTAAATTTTAACAGTTTTGGAGTCAGTTTGAGTGTTTTAAAGCTTAGTACTTTAAGAGATATCGGGAGAGAGGATGCCCTAGGGTTTATTGTGCAACAATAAAGTCTCAAAACTCCTAGAGTTTGGAATTTACGGCCAAAACATGGTGTTTACGACCGTAAACCCCAAGGGGTATAAATATGACACATAGTCATATTTATCACTTTTTCACACTTTCAAGAACTAGAACTCGAAATCCTCTCAAGTATAATCCGATTTTCATTCCTGATCTTCAAATTTGTAAGTGTTTCTTGCCCTAACTAGTTGATATCTTACTTGATCTAGGAATCTTACACGATTTCATCCGTGAAATCATTCCATTTGTGTAGATCTTCAAGTGTTCTTAGTTTCACCAAGAACACCAAGAACACACACTAGTGTTCTTGGACCTTAAACACCCAATCAAGCTTCTAGATTGTAAGTACACTTATCCTAGCTTGTTATACACTTGAAATGGACTTGTTTGCACTTAGAAATCACAAAGAAACACAAGATCAAATGTGTTTACAGTCAAGACATGTTCTTGGGCCGTAAACCCTTTTAAGTGGGGAAAAATGCACCCTAGTCCCTTCCTAAGCCTTGCACTGTCACACCCCGAAAACCGAAGGCGGAAACATTTACGGGGTTGACTCCACGTTGAGTATCAAATCCAATGCACATAGTAAGTAAAGTAAAACAACCATTACATTACGTAAAGAAAAGTTTTACAATTGTTTCAAAAGTAAGGTTTGTACAGTTGTGATACATAGCATATTTACATAAACAAAATGAAACGGGACTTCTGGGTACTCCGTCTTCAAGCAAAAAGGATCTTCGGGTATCTGTTCTAATGCTAACCTGAGAACACAAGCGGTTTGAAAATCAGCATAACGCTGGTGAGTTCATAAGCGATTTTTGTTTGTGAAAATGTTCAAGTTTCCTTTCTGTTTCTGAAATGTTATTCACACCAAGAAAATCCCATATTTTCTTAAAAAGGTTTGTTATTGTTTGTCAACATGTAAAGTAGAATTGTACACTGAAAACATGTTTACTTTTGTGAGAACATACAGTTAGGTTATTTGGTTTAACATACTATTCTGGTTATGTACCAATGTATTCCCAGGAAAGTCCCATACTTTCCTGATTGTGTTACCAATTGTGAAAGATGTAAAGTTATCCGGTTTGTTATCCTTTCTGGTTATGTAAACGTTTCCCCAGGAAAGTCTCATACTTTCCTGAATGTTTGTTATCATATGTAAAAGATGTAATCCTGTTAAACCTAGTTATGTACAAGGTTTCCTAGGAAAGTCCCATACTTTCCTGAATGTTGGTTACCGTATGTGAAAGATGTATTCTTGTTATTCATTAAAACCATAAGTAAATCTCTGTTATCCTAATTGCGAGTTCCATAACCATACGATGGACTAAACCTGTGACAATAAGTAGTCCACATACTTATGAGTTTCGTCACCCTTGAACCATTTCGGTTCGTCTGTAGCTAGCAGCCAGGTGTGGGGTACTCAACCCCGTATAGATATATACACTCAAGTCACGCTCTCTAAATCCCATAGATTCTGGTTACGGGTGTAGTCCTCCACTCGCGTATCTCTGTGGAGTGTTCGCCGAGGACGTGTCTCCAATCATACAGGATTAACAAATTTATTAGTAATAATATGATAGTCCTCCACTCGCGTATTTATGTGGAGTGTTACCGAGGATAAAACAGTGTACAGGTATTACATTCAAATGTTCTAATGTCATACTTTTAACTGATAAAATGTGGAAATCCATTTGTG